TCCATTTATTAAATAAAATATTGAATACTTATTAAATTTAAAATCCTTTCTTTAACGAAAAATCTCCCAGATAATTTAATCTTATTTACGACGCCTAATAAATAATATCTATGACCCTATTCATAAGAGATCCAATTTTCGTGCATGTGTCTGGAAACCCAGCCGAAAAACCGCCGTACAACATAAATTTTGTCACGAAGTGGTAGTCATTGAAACACTTAAGGCACTTATCTAAGTGCGTTTGAATAGTACCGTTGTTTCGATACACAAATTTTCAAGGCAAGTAATAAATCTACCACCCCCTTTTTTCACACAAATTCGTTTCCCACTGGGAACTTAGACCAACTGACGTCACAAAAAGCCATTAAAACGGGTATAAGAACCCGAATCCAAATGAGCTCGGATTCATTCATTTTTTTTATTTGATATTCTTTCATTATTTGTATCCAGTTATATTTCAAGTTCAGTTTTCAGTACCTTTCCTAAAAAGCTCTTCCTAAACAACGTATATCCTACAATATCTCCTATCTCCTGAACGCTGTCACGTTCCGCACCACTTAAATATTTCTACCGTATATCTGTACCGATGCTGACTTTTTAGAAATTAACTTATCTTTTATATCCCTAATAAGTTCTTCATTAGAAACATAAGTTTATAATAATTAGGAATATCTATCATGTAATATTATTGGAATATTACTAGGTACCTATATTTCTTAAATAATAGAAATAATATTTAATTTGTTTCGCTACTAAATTGGATCAATTTTATTTATACTACAAATTAAAAGAACGAACTCTGTTATTACATTATCTGTTTGACAGATTATAGTACGTGATAATCAAATAACATGTTATTGAGATTTTGAAAGGAAGTCAGTAATATCTGGATATCAGAAAGTAATTGAACAATCTGCTGTAATTATGTTTAAATAGTTTTTGTGATATATTTACAAATCTGTTAAAAGCTACAATATTTTTTATGAACTTATTCATATCTACTTTATTAGTATATTTAAAATCAACAATAAAATTACTTTTTTATATACAATATCCAACGGGGTCGCCCCTAATTACAGGATAAGGAGAGAAATATTACAATCTTGTATATTGGGACATTCCATGCCAAATCGGACATCATTTAGCTTTTGCATCTTGGATTTTTTAAACTTTTCTGTTTGAGTATAGGTTGAAAGAGGCCTCCATGATTTTTTTTTTCAAACGCCCAAAGTGCGAAAAATGATCTGAATGAAATTTTATAAGAACAAAAATCTTTGTTTTCAAACATACTTTTCGTAAAAAATATCAAAAAAATATTTCGAAGCAAGCTTCTATTAGAATTTTAACTTTTAAGCATAAATTATCGATTTACAAAAAACACGTACTGATCGGTTTTTCTAAAAAAAATTTCTCACTGTCACCTATTCTACAACTTTTTCGGCCATGCTCATAGTGGGACAACGATGGGATCTATTTTTTTTTTTTTTTCAATTTTTCAATTTTGACCTCAGATTTTTGTGATCAAAAATGTCTGAAAAAAAATTCTATGCTCAGGATTTAGTGTTAATAATTATTTGAGACACAATTATCATGGTAATTATCAAAGTTTATTTCCGAAGAAAGATTATTATTGACTCACATCTATTTCCTTACACGTTTAAATATTTTATAAATCCGAGATTCAACAGATGATAAAAATTCTTTAAATTTCAAAGTATCTAGAATGACACAATAATATTTCTGCGTCCCTGTTATTGTCTTTGCTCGGAAATTATCTTGGATCTAATAATAGTATGACCAGATTATACTCTTCATTAGAAAAAAATTGAATATTCATATTTGGTAAAGAATTTGGTCTTTTCGTCCATTCATATAGTTCTAGAGGAGTTGAAATTTGTTGGTCATATGGAAGCTGAAGACTTGATCGTGCTGCCATCCTCTTGAAAGTTCCCCTGCTCCATCACAAGGTCTTTGTCATGAGCGGTTGCAAATTAATGCCATTTAGCTTTAATTCCAAAGTCTTCTTCATGATAATTGATATTTAATTTTTTTTTATAATTCTTAAATTGTTGAGGTGCTCCGTCGGAAAAGTAAATAATTTTTGAGGCATTGTTGGAAAGACCTTTGATAAAATTAGTGGTAATTCTTGTAAACTGATGAATGACAACTGCATCATGAGATAAACAATCTGATACGATTACTACACATTTATGAACCAGCACATTATTTTTTTATAATAAATTGCAAGTGGATAAACAGTTGCCTGGCTGTTATTCAAATGGAATCCAGATGCAGCATTCTGAATAACAAAGGTATAATTTTCCGCAAAATCACAGATAACCATGTACTCATTCTCATTTAATGATTTTTTCTGCTAGCTTAAATAGTTTGCTTGCTCTTTAGCGATGTAATGATGGGGAAGAAGACGTGATATTTTCACAAAAACTATAGACGAAATCTAATGATTTTTTTACAAATGTCTCCAGGCTCGTACGAGGTTTTGAAATCCAATACTTATAACTGGATACTTATCACAGTCATGAAAATAAAAATTAGAGGTGGGATTCTGACATATGATTATTTTAAAGCAGTCATTATGTTTTTAATGGCGTTGCTAATTTACACCCTGCAACGAAGGAAACCATGAGTTATTTTCACAAAGATTGAGGAAAATCAATCAGTACATGTTTTTTGTAAATCGATAATTTATGCTTAAAAGTTAAAATTCTAATAGCTTGCTTAGAAATATTTGTTTTATATTTTTTACGAAAAGTATGTATGAAAACAAAGATTTTTTGTTTTTTTTTTTATTCAGATCAAGTTATGGGCGTTTGAAAACAAATCTCTGAATTTTTCAAAATCGAGATCCCGAAAACAGTTGGAGAAAAAAATTTGAAAAAATCATGAAGACCTCTTTTAACTTATACTCAAACATAGAAAAGTTTCAGAAAAATCCAAGATGCAAAAGCTAAACGGTGTCCGATTTGGTATGGCATGCCTCAACTTAAATCAAAATAAATACGAACTAAGACAGGCACTAGAAAATTTCTATAACAAAAAAACAAAAGATGCGTCCATTTCGGTTCTTAAAAATCATATGTGTCCAACACATGACTTGCCTGTCTTGTCTAAAGTTATTATAGGCGTTTTCCGGTTATTCTGTACAACCTATTGTCACGGGCTTTTCGGTCGTGATGGAGTCACTTTAAAGAGTGACTCTATGTGCTACCTGACTTGGAGAAATAAAAGAGCAAAAACAATTAACAATTTATTAACGATAAAATATATCCAAAAAATCACAATAAATATAACAAAGTGTCTTAGCAAGGGCTAAACATCTAAAGGTAATTAAAGAGCACTTTTTACTGTATGCAGATGATTTAAAATTATACAAGCGTGTGACAAGTATTGGCGACTGTAAACAACTTCACATGAACTTAAATCTAGTGGTTGAATGGTGTAATAATAATAAAAAACTTGAACTTAATCCAATTAAATGTAAAGTTATGTCTTTTTCTTTAAAAACCGACCAAATAAAGTATAATTATTTAATAGATAATGTTTCACTTCAGCGACCAGATACTTTTACAGATCTTGGGGTAATTTTTGATCCCGGATTGACTTTTATATGTCACATAGATAAAATGATTGAAAAATCCTATCGTATGTATGGTTTTATAACTCGCTGCACCAGGGATTTCAAAGATGTAGCCACATTAAAAACGTTATATTACTCTCTTATAAGATCAAAGCTGAGTATGCGTCTGTCGTCTGGAGTCCATTTTACCAACTTCACATGGATCGAATTGAAGCAGTTCAAAGGCGGTTCCTAAAATTACTGTGTTTAAAGGAGGACGGTGTTTATCCGCCAATCGGAATACCAAACCAAAATCTTCTTCAAAGATATCACTTTTTAAGCCTCATAAAAAGACGTGAATACCATTGTTATGTGTTAGGTTTCAAAATTGTTAACGGTTTAATTGATTCTCCTGAACTGTTGAGAAAAATTGATATCTGCATTCCGAGAGTATCCTCTAGAAATTCTAACATATTTCACATATCTGTACCTCGCACAAATGTTCTGAAAAATTCTCCATTTCATACTATTAGCCGCGTTGTGAATAGTGTGAGTAGTGACATTGATATCTTCTTATGCAAACTCAGGGAAATAAAATGTCATTTCCTAACATAAAAAAAAATTGTACTGTATTGTATTTTACCTACTAGCTGTTTACTAATTTTTGTATATTTTGTACCACTTAGTCTATATAATGTATGTGTTCTTTTATTCCTGCTCTGTAATTGGGATTGCCTGTAGAGCATTGTAATAAATAAATTAAATAAATAAATTAAATAAATAAATTAAATAAATAAATTAAATAAATAAATTAAATAAATAAATAAATAAATAAATAAATAAATAAATAAATAAATAAATAAATAAATAAATAAATAAATAAATAAATAAATAAATAAATAAATAAATAAATAAATAAATAAATAAATAAATAAATAAATAAATAAATAAATAAATAAATATATAAAGACAACGAGGGCACGTCACGTCACTTCTTCTAATGGGATGCGCGACGATGATGAGACTCAAATTGTCAGTGTCAGATGAGCTCCGGCGGAGAGTCTAGGGTGAGACTCCGACCAAGAATGTCATTATTGTTCACCCTGCCGATTTATATATTAATCTAAGGTCAGTACGTGTCTAGTCTAATGTTATATTTACTTTTATCAAGGATGTACTTATGAATTGCATCTAATGTTTATCAAAATATGCTGAATTATTTAATTTAATGAATGTATATTAAAATAGAAAATATATATTTTATATATAGGGTGGTATTTGTTTAACCTGTATAACTCCTGTTAATATTTAGAGCATGAATTATATTCATACATTTTCCACACACATTTTACTCTGACCTTTTTTTATATACTTACAGAATCTAACACAGAACAATGGACGGTGGATGTCTACGGCGCTCGCGTGCATTTGCGAGCCAATTTTATGGTGAACACGGGGCTTCGAGTCCTACAGAGGACCATGTGAATTTATTTGCATGGTTCCCTACAGGATTTGATGGATGCCGTATTAGCAGAGATTTAATTTCGACATCCAGAGTATAAAAATCGCCATTCATTACCGTTTCGATGATGGTGGGTGAGCTTTTCCGGGTTTTCCTCACCTGTAAGTTAAATGGCTATAATTTTTTTATTTCTAAATATAATTTTACTAAATTTGATAAACATGTTTGATATCATAAGATACACCTGTCAGCAAAACAATCAGTTAAATAAACTTTTCCAGTGGCGTATGGCATGGATAAGTAACACCTTCATCCCCTCTAAATTTTACGTCACTCTACAAAAACTTATTTGAACTACTTTTCTATTCTTTGATGAAGAAAATTATTTTATGTTATTCCATACCCTATCAAGAACAAAAAATGAAACATTCTGTGTATGGTCATTCCCCACCTGTAATGAACCAGCGTGTATAATAATGTTTGAATTTTTTCCTACTTAAATCTAGTTCAATGTCATATCAATAACGATTTGGGGTAAATCTTAAAACTTATCAATTACATACCTAATTAAATTAAAATTAAATTGTTAGTAAAGAGTTTTAAAATATAATTTTACATTAAAGTAATTCGCAAACTAATAACTAACAATTTTATTTTCCAATTACATATTGTCATCTAGTAATTATTGGATCTGGTGCCTGTCGATTAGTTTTCCGGAAACTATTTTAATAAATTATATCTCATTGCAGACTATTTAAACAAAGTAAATGAAACATTTTCCCGCTATTTTGTTTTCATGCAATACAATGAAAGTGTTTCCTAAAATGATTAAATATTTGTTACTCGCAGTAATTTACTGTGCAACAAAAGTTTTTTCAGGCGATCTTCGTAAGTATTATTATTATTAATATATTATTTTAAACATTAAGTTTAAAATATTCATATTGGTATCATTCATACTTAATCCAATAATTAAAAATAAAATAACTTGGTTCCATTCAACTTTTCAGATGGGGAATTTGGATCCTTTTTTTACATATTTTTGTTATCCTGTCTCTTGACAGCATTTTCATTTGGCTGATTGATTTTCTCTTGCGTTCTCTATTTGATCCATCCATTTTTACTCATCTTCATAATATTAAAAGCCATATTATTTTTTTTTGTTTTTTCTGGATTTATTCTTATCATATGTCCGTAAAAGATTGCTTATTGTTCTATCCATCCTGTTTGCTGTATTTCGTTCCTCATTCTATTTGATTTAGTTTTTCTTGCTATCTTTCTTACTGTAAAAAATAGTACTTTTACTCTTTTTTTCTATTTTTTCTCTCTCATATTGTTCAATGCAATTACTATTTTTTTTAGTAATTTATTTTCTAATATTCCTAGCTATAAATTATTAATTCTATATCAATATTGTCAATCTGTTATTATGAAAAACATTTTAAATAAGTGTATTTTATTAATTTAGCCTCCTTCATACACGTTTGCCATAAAGAAGATCCAAATTTGGTACAATGTATGATAGCATCTGTAGAAGACATCCGTCCTTTTCTTGTAGATGGTAAGTTATGTAATATTAAATAATAAGAATTCTATGATCATGAAAAAAATATAGGTAATCCTGAAAGTTGTATTTTTTTGTGTAAATTACCATAATAATTTAAAGGACATTCATCTTCTCAAATTTATGAGGGTTATGGAAAACACAATATATTAGCAATTGCACTCGGATCTGCAAAGGAGCCGCTATGAATACTTATAGAGCAAAATAAACAATTATTTATTTCGAATAAAACATGTAAATTCATATTTCAACTGTTACACTAACCTAATTTTATTATATAAATCAAAGGTAACGCCAAGTCGAAAGGTAACCGTCTTGCTGATTCACTGGCCAAGAAGGCGTAGACCCGCTTGAAGTTTATGTACAAGGAAAAGACAACAATAATGTTAACCTTCATAGGCATAGCACAGCCAAAACTGTGTTCAACCTTAAACTTAAAGAAATAATTAAGATTAACCGAATAGGAAAAAATCGCATTGGAGCCACCTTTTCGAATAACAGTGCCGCAAATAAATTTATTAATGATAAGGACTGGGATTCAATTGGTTACGAAGTATTTATCCCTTCACATAATGTGTCCTGCAAAGGTATTCTCAGACATGTTCTAAAATCTCTTACCGATGACTAAATAAAGATGCCATAGATACTCAGCTGACCTTCTGCAAGGCCCTAAATGTTAAAATTCTTAACAGACGAGTAGTTGAAGAAGGATAGCAACCAAATTATTTTCCAACTGGAACATTCTTTGGAAAAATTATACCAAAAGAAATAACTATATATGGCCTACCAATGAAAGTAACTCCTTATATAAGCCCAGTTCTTCAATGCCAACAATGTCTCTCATATGGTCATGACATTAAGCAATGCCAAATTCAAAATCTGCGGAAAAAACACCAAATCGGTAAAAAAACTTGTAATAATTTTTGTGTACACTGTAAACATGATCAACACTCTTCTAATGACAAAAAATTTTCTGAATACAACAGACACAAGATATCAAAGAACTAATGTCATTTTCAAACATCCTATAATATGAAGCGAGTCAGATGACTCCAAGAAAAACTAAGTACATGCATAATGTAAATGACTTCCCTACTTTAAATAACGATGCTTTAAATACCAATTCTATTAACATTCACGAAAGAAGAACAGCTCTCATTAATAATTCGCAGTCAGATAACTAGATCATCAACTATTAAAAGTAGAAGCCCTAAAGACAGAAGTTTCGATAAAAAAGCACTCGACGACTGCCTCATAAATCCTAATGGTAGAATTCCAGAAATGTTAATGCCAAAATTCAGTCATTTTGTAAACAACAAGGAATTGTCTGTGAAACTTCAGCTCCATACGCGCATGAACAAAATGGATTCGCAGAACGAGATATAAGAACTCTTACAGAAAGTGCTCGTTCCATGTTATATACAAAAAAAGTTCCTCTGCAATTTTGGGCAGAAGCTGTAAATACCTCTGTATATATTGTAAATAGGACTATTTCTAAAAAGGACCCTAACGTGACACCTTATGAAAAATGGTTTGGAAGAAAACCCAGTCTAAAACACCTGAGAATATTTGGATCCTTAGCATACATGCATAATCCGAAAGAACTTAGGAAGAAATGGGAACCTAGAAGCCGTAAAATGATTTTTGTTGGCTACGAACACGAATCTTCCAACTATCGTCTTTGGGATAATGAAAAGAAAAGAATCTTTATTAGTGCAAATGTAACATTTGATGAAGAAAATAAGATACACGAGGATAATACAGAAAATTTTGTTTATCTGAAATTTTTTGAAAATGAAAAAGAAGAGATAATTTCAGATCATGAAGTATATGAAGAGGAGCCAAGTCAAGTAGATGAAGAGAAACAAAGTGCTTCAGAGAATAAAGAAATAGATGAGATAGGAAAATATAATCTTAGAGATAGAAGCCAACTTAAGCCGCCTGATCATTTTTCAGCAATGTCTGTGGAAGTGGAAATTCCATCTACATTTGAAGAGGCTATACAGTCAGAAAACTCTAAACAATGGGTTCTTGCAATGGAAGATGAGATGGATTCACTAAAAAGTAATGAAACCTGGATACTCACAGATGCCCCTGAAGATTCAAATATAATTGATTGTAAATGGGTATTTACAATTAAAACAGACATTACAGGAAAAGAAAAAATTCAAAGCCAGATTAGTTGCTAGAGGATTCTCACAGAAACACGATATAGACTATCATGAAACTTTTGCACCAGTTGTTAGGTATGAGTCTGTTCGTATACTCCTGGCCATTGCTGCAGAAGAAGATCTCGAACTTGCCCAATTTGACATCAAAACTGCATTTCTGTATGAAGAACTGGAAGAAACAATTTTTATGCAACAACCCAAAGGATTTGAAGAAGGTCATAAAGTTTGCAAACTCAACAAAAGCCTATACGGATTAAAGCAGTCACCCCGATGTTGGAACACAAAATTCAGAAAATTTTTGAATTTTTACAATTTCAGACAAATGAATGCAGATCACTGTGTATACATAGGAAACATCAAAGATGATAAAATTTATTTGGCCCTGTATGTAGACGATGGTCTGATTTTAACGAAATCAGTTGACAATGTCACAGAAATTTTGACATTGCTCAAAACTAATTTTGAAATTACAACTGGTGATGCAAAATGTTATGTAGGCATTGAAATAAGCCGAGATCGAAAACAAGGAAAAATAAGAATATCACAAGCAAAATTCGTAGACAAAATTCTGAAGAAATTTAATATGATCAATTGTTCTCACTCGATGATTCCCGCTGACCCCGGATTAAGGCTTAAACTTACATCAGAAGTGGATAAAAGAGAACATATTCCTTATAGAGAAATTATTGGAAGCTTATTATTTCTAGCTACAAATACACGCCCTGACATATCCTATGTAGTTAGCTACCTAAGTCAATTTTTAAATAATTTTGGAAAGGAACATTGGACAGCTGCGAAGAAAATACTTAGATATCTCAAAGGAACAAAATATTTTGGAATCCTTTATGAAAAATGTCATGACAGCAAATCAAATAAATTAAGTTTAGTTGGATATACTGATGCAGATTACGCAGGAGACGCCGAAACAAGAAAATCAAGGTCTGGATACATTTTCTTGTTAAATAACTCTCCCATAACCTGGTGTTCACAACGTCAGCAAGTTGTTGCACTTTCTACAACAGAAGCCGAATATATGGCATTATCTTTCAGTTGTAGAGAAGCAGTTTGGTTACGAAATTTTATTAAAGAATTGGGATATTCTCCAGAACATTCACGGACTATCATTAAAGTTGATAACCAAAGTGCAATAAAATTAGCCAACAACCCGGAATTTCACAAAAGAACAAAACATATCGACATAAAATATCACTATGTTCGTGAACTGATAGAAGAAGACAAAATCAGTATTGAATTTGTCGAGTCTAAAACCCAATTAGCCGATATCTTCACGAAACCATTACCAAAAGAGAAGTTATACAGTATTCGAAGAAGTTTGAAGATTTTAGATTTTAATGAAGTAGAGGAGGTATTGGAAGGACTTCAATAAATGTGTATCATACTGTATAGTTTATGTTTATATAGTTTGTTGATGTTTTTGTTTGATAGAGTTGTTAATGATTGTCAATAAAAAAAATATACATTTTTCTGCTCCTCTATAAATCTTCATTCAAGAAGATCTCTGCTGGTTTAAACATATTCCTTTACAAATCCTTCTACATCCAACGTCAATAGAACAGATTTGGGGAAAAACTTGAATCTGATATTGTCCAGGCTATATCTATCTTATCTAAATCCTACAGGAGCTCCTTATGACATTTATTGGAAACATAATTAATAATATGTACTCTTCTGTTAGTAATAGTAATGTTTCAACAACAAATATTGTAGGTTCCCAAGAACCTTTTTCTCAAATAAGTAATGACCCTGTATCACATGATAATGTTGGTAGAATGGATTACTCCGATCAGGAGGATTTCTAATCCAACCAGACATCTATATTTTTTCTGAATACAATTACTCCATTGACCATTATTCAATGGAATATTAGATCATACAATGTAAATGTTGACAATTTATTTCTTCTAAAATAGCATCTAAATGCACTTGGGAGGTCATTCCTGATCATGGATCAAGTGATCACTTCTCCACAATGTGTAAAATTGGTATGAGTCCAAGTACCAATCCATTGCCCACTAAACAGAGAAATGTCCGTATAGCCATTGGTCCTCTTATCATTGTAATCTTGATGTAATCTTTTCTTCATTTAGTAGTGATAGTTATGAAGATTTTATTGAATCTTTTAATTCAGTGGCTGATACCACAATTCCAAATTTCAAAGGCAATAGTAAAAACAAATACTAGATACCATGATGGGATAACTCATGTGATGACATAATTAAAAAAAGAGTAATTGCCATTAAAATTTTTGAAGACATCTCAACTATAGAAAATTATATCACGGTCAAAAAACTTGTTGCAAGGTCTAGAAGACTTTTGAAAAGGAAAAGTAGCTCCAGGGAGTTTTGCGGAACACTAAATCGCGATTCATCCTTAAAAACGATATGGAATAAAGTAAATTCAGTTGCAGGTCAGAAAACTAATATTCCAAATATGTATTCTAATAAATTGCTGCCATGCCATGAATTTGAATGGCCACCAAACTCTCTCCAATTCCAGTTTTAAATCTTAGATCAATTAGGGATGACACTTATGGCTTATCCATTTTTACTGACACAATAAAAAAGCTACCCGGTTACACAAAATTCTTCACCGACAGATCTGTGGGACCTTCTATGGATTCAGGCTTCGGAGTATTTTCTCCAGACCTCAACTACGTGTTTTCAAGCAGACTACCTCAACATACACAAGTATGTACTGCAGAAATTATTGCAATTAACCATTCCTTGCAAATCATTTTAGAAAAAAATTTCTTGATCTCGGTTATTATCTCGGGCTCCAAATCTGCTTTACAAAAAATCGGAACCATGAAATTCTCTACAGAAACTGCTTATTGCTCCTCTCTAACAAAACAAGGTATCTTACTTGCTACTAAACATGAAAAATTACTAGTCTTTTTTGTAACGTTTCTTATAGAGACTTTTCTTGATATATTTTTGAAACGATACTAAAATATAAAATAAATGAAGTTTTATGTACGCTGCAATACTTGAATTAGCAGTTTAATAAACATCTTTTGTACTTCTTTTTAGTTACTTCCTGTGACTAAAATTTATACGACGTTAATTTTTATAAATCACAATAATATCGCATACAGGTCAGCACAGTAATGTGTACATGTACAAGTTACATATCTTTAAGATGGCTATCTATAGTATTTACATCGCAGACCTGGCAGACCTAACAATTCGTCCCGCGTTCATAGATGGAGATACCAATGATCGCTTGCTACTTACGTAACCGGTAGTACTGTATATTATGGAGCAGTCTGTTGCCCAGTATTAAGTATTTCATCTAAGTTCTTACTTTTACCTTTGATATTAATTTATACCATTGTATTATTATACTTTTTCTGTAAAATTTTCTGGGATTAGAAATTAGAAGTTTAACTTGTCTTCTAAGCTTTTAACTTCAAGTTTATTTTAATTCTGCTTTATATATATGAAATATAAAATGTTTATATAACATGGTCCATATAAAATTTAAAACATAAAGATAAAAATAAAAAGGTATGAACTGTATCGTATTTGAAACGTCACATTTGGTTCATTAATATGATTTTATTTTATGGGTTTTTATAATAACATCTACAAGAAGTAAAAAGACTTTCTTGGATATAACAGGAATGTCACATCTGGTTTGTTAAAAAGACATCATTTTTGGGAACTTCCAATAACGTTGAATAACGTAACAAGATAGCGCTGTAATGTCACCGCAACGTCTACATTGTTTCATCACAAAAGTAAACGTCCCTACTCTGGGCTTAGACGGTTATGAGTCCGTCCTACAGATGAAAACAAGAGTAAAAATCTGATGTGTCCAACACATGACTTTCCTATCTAGTTATTACAGGCTTTTTCCGGTTATTTTGTACAACCTATTGCAGCACCTCTATAAATGTTTAGAGGAGGATAAACTAAATATGTATATACATTTTCCACATACATCTACATCGAAACATTTTTCTATAGATATTCATTGAAAACGAAAATACTGAAAAATTTAAATTTAGCACTTTTCCTACAATTTTTCCATTACGGTCCATTTTAGAAAAATCATGTATAAACAAAAATTATAGAGATCGATATCGCAAACAACTTTTATTTCAACAATTTTCATAAAAATCAGTCAAATTTACTCGAATACGGACCATTTCAGGAAATTTTTACATAAACAAAAATTATAGATAATAATATTAGAAGTAACTTTTATTTGAACAATTTTTTTCTCCAAACATAAATAACAGATATATTCCATAAAATATAAAAACGGCCTCCCATAAAGTAACCCCCCCCAGATGTTCCGACTTTGTCCAAAGTCTAATCATTTCACGTCAGGCCGAAATAAAACTTAAGTTTAAAATTTAATGTTTTTTTCTTTATCTGTTTTTGAGTTTTCTTCAAATTTCGAAATTTACACATTTTCTCAAATATCTAGAATACGGTCCATTTTAGAGAAATTATGTATAGTATAAAAATTATAGAGAATTGTATTACAAACAACTTTTGTTTGAACAATTTTTATAAAAAAATATTTTTTTACATTTTGTCAAATTTCTCGAATACGGACCATTTTAGAAAAATTTTGTATATAACAAAAATTATAGATAATAATATAAGAAGTAACTTTTATTTGAAGAATTTTCTTCCCCAAACGTAAATAACTGATATATTCCATAAAATATAAAAATGACCTCCTATAAAGTACCCCCCCCCCAGATGTTCCGCCTCTGCCCAAAATCTAATCAGCTCATTGGACGCTGGAACAAAGCTTAAGTTTAAAATTTGGTGTTTTTGTGTGTATGGGTTCATGAGTTATGCGACACACAGACATCATCGCGAAAATAGTCTAAACGGATTCAGGGGACCTCAAAACGTAAAAATCCGTCGAAAAAAATCATGATTCCTATACTTTCCTTATATCTGTATACAGATAGGAAAGTAAAAATGAGAGTTACAAAGTATATAACAATGTAATGTAAAGTTCTCATTAATTTAACATTTTTATGCATAGTGGGAAATATAGGAAGAATCCTTAAAATTCCTGTAAATATTAAACTCAATCAGTCTAACTTTTTACCCTTTATCAAACAAGAAATTTGGAACAAATGGCTTCAACATAGGAATTCACTAAAAGAAAAGAAAACATCTTATTACTTCCAAGTGGTCCCTAAAATACCCAAAACTCCGTGGTTTAATAGTAAACAATGCAATGGAAGAAGGTACCTTTCCACAATTATACGGATGAAAACTGGCCATTGTCTAACCCCGTATCACCTATTTCGAATTGGAATTAAAGATGACCCATTTTGCGAGTGTCGAGAAGTTGGATCGTTAAATCACATCATCTTAGAGTCCCATTAATAAATCTCCCCTTTTTGATCTGATTTATCAGCTCCATTTGATATTCGCTACATCTTGTCTTATTTGGACGATAGAAGAATAACCATTTTCCAAATTTTTAAATATATCACTTACTTTATGATAAATAATTTTAATGTAATTTAATTCTCATTTTTAAAATTAATTCAACAGGTGTTCCAGAACATAGAATTCCAAGTTTAGAACCATTAATCATGAAGGATTTTTTTTCTGAAGAAGCCGCTGGAATGAAAATAACAGTCTCGAATGTCAGCGCATGGGGATGTACCGATTACTTTGTTCGTGGAATGGAGTACGTATATTTTATTATAAATGTATAAAATATTGCGCTGCTACTTGATTACCAGCATTATGTTTAAAACGTCATCTTTTAACACAAATAATCATCAAAATTAAAATATTTTAAGACATAAAAGACGTTAAATTAGTGGTAGTTGTTTTAATGTTTGCTTCAGAGGTCTTTGAATTGTTTTGTTAGCAGATTGTGATTGAGATATTGCTCCTATTTTTCCTTTTCATAGTGGCATAGATCCATACAAACACCAAAATAATATGTAGCTTTTAAAGATATAGGTAGTTAATTTGGTTAAATAATCTTGATTATAACGTAATACATACTTAATAAAAACTAGTCCGTTACCATTTTTAACTCTCCAAATGGCTCAAAAATAACAATATGCACTAGCGAAATAAAAAGCACATCATTTAGTTTTTGTTTTAAATATTGTAACAAATAGTTACGGACATTGAAAATATAAGCAAATTTTAATTTAGTGCTATTTTAACTCGCCGATTATGATTTCAAAGTTTGACAACTTTTGTAGATAATATGATATACTCAAAATAAAGTGTCTTTATTCACAATCCAAAAAAACTATATTTTGCCACGTTTTAGTGTTAATATGGAAACCCATCTGTTTACACTTTATATTGATCTCCCAAAACTTCGAATAGAAGCTCATTACAGTGTGGATGGTAAACTACTCGTGTTGCCTGTAAAAGGAGATGGAAATTTAGAAGCTAACATAAGTAAGTAGTCTTTGTTAAAAAAAAAGAGTAAGAGGATTGATCAGATACAAACAAGACTTCGGCTACCGTCGATATTAGGGACAGTAATTTTTTCACTTTTTCCATAATGATTAAGTAAAACCATAATATTTTTACACTTTTTAATCTTCTATAAGTGTTTACTAACCTAATTAAAGCAACAAATATTATTAAAACACATTTGTAAGTTAAAAAATTAAGAAATTGCATTTATTCGTGACATTCTCACGTAGCCATACTGTTTTTAATTTTTTCGATTTGACAGTCACACTAAGAGCGCCTGTGCGTGATTTTAGCGATGTTGCCAATTGCTTTTTGTTATTTGTTCTAAATAAATATATTCATGGTAATACCGTTCTATATTATTTTTTGTTTATGAATAATATGACAACTAACATTTTTATTTTTATAAATGTGGTGTTGTCAAACATAGTAAATAAACGTACATAACAAGAATGACAGTGGCTGTTTTTTCAATAGCTCCAGGCTAGATGATAAAACCAAAATATAAATGTGTTTATTTGAGACTTTTCATTTCAATTTGAGCTGTGTCCAGGCCGTTGGAGTCTATGCCAGTCGGCGTAGCCAGGTATGGATTGATGTTTTTTGGTAGCGGCGAAGCCGCCACCCTACGATAAGTCGTTGCTTCGTTTTCTTGTTGCATATTTATGGACCGGTATGCGCAATCACAATTTTCCATTAACTACTAATTTTATCACAATCTGGCAACGTTGCAATTATATTTTCCAAATTTGACAGAAACCAGATGTTTACAGTCGTCAAAATGCTGATTTTTATAGAAATTAAATAATTTTTTTTTGTTTAAATAATGCATTTACCGCAATTTTTTTTTTTTAATGTACTATTTAAAATACGCTCTTTCTGATAAAAAATAAATTTCTTTAAAATTCCACTGTCCCTAAAGTCGACGGGACCCAAGACTTCTTTAATAACTATTCATTTATTAGAAAATTATATCTAGTGAAGCAAAAAATCAAAACTCTTACTTTTTATATAAATAAAATTAAACTATTGCTAACATATTTTTTCGATTATACATATAGTTTTTAAATATTGTCCTTGTAAAAATTCTCTGGACATATGAGGAGCTAACTTTCAAACGCGAACTAGTCACCTTAAAAGGATTTTCCAGGTAACACAATTAATTCTGATCTAACTAAGAGGAAATGAAGGTGAAACTTGCTTTATTTCATTAATTTAGATGTCATTTATTTTATTTTATTTTTAACAACTATTGAAAACATTTTATTGTATTTTTTGTTTAACCTACTTTTTATTTTGGACAAGTTCGCGTTTGACTGAACAATTTGGACAAGTTCGCGTTTGAATGGAACATCCCAGGACAAATTCGTTTTTGATCGGAAGCAATAAAAACACAATTTGTTTTATTTGAGTAATGTTCAAGTTTTATTTTTTACATATATTGGTACTTAAATTTAGAACAGAATAATATTACTTAGGAAAAAAAACAGGTATTTTTTCATTTTAAAATTGAAATCAAATTAATTTTCTTTCTTGAATTCTTGTCAGGTATGCACCCCACAACAATCATCTTCTAAGCAGTCACATCTTTCATTAATATCATTATTATTAACAATAATCAAATTTTCATCATCAATGTCTTTGTAGAAGTTTAGGTTATCTATTTCTCTCTATTCGCCATATAAAGCTGTCAGTAAATCATTTATATTTTTTTCTTTGCATCCGAAATCATGTGAGCCAACTGCTTGTCTTTCAATACAAAAGAATCAGATCCCACTAACGACCCCTCTTCAGAAGTGAAATGTATTTTTCATATTCATGCACGAATCTGAAATTTTCATTTGCTTTGACTGTAATATTAGTTTTTTCAGACTTTGTTGTGATTCTTTTTAAGTAAATTCTTTTCTTATTACTTATATTCTATATGTTCTTTAGATGTGTAGAGATACTTTTGGTGTCTTTCAGTGTCCAATCTGTTTCCAACTGCTTTACGGCTCCAACTTCTTTAAATAGCTCATAATACTCTTCTTTTGTTACCATAGTAGATTTCTTCCGAAGAAGTTTCTCTAACCTTCCAAAAACGCGGTCGGTAGGGAGAAAACGATGGCCTCGAACAGGAAATATAATGATGATATCTTTGATAGGACCTTGGTGGATTGAAAGGAAGTATATTAATGTGTGGATAACAATGTTGTTTTTGTTTTGTCCTCCGCATCCATCACAGAAGAGCTTTAGTACCTTTTTCCATATAAAAGCTATTTCAATTTCCATAATTTGATCGTTTAATGGAATGTTTCCTTTTCCTTATCACTGCTAGAACCGTAAAGATCACTTATTTCCATTTTTATCTGTTTTCAATGTATAAGGAAAAGCCGAGTTCACATTTGAGTCCACATCAAATCGATCATCAATTTCTCTTTTAATTTATAATAACCGAGGTGATAATGAGAGCATTTTATATTTGAGTTTGGCTTCAGAGAAAAACACTCGACCATTGACCAAGTTCATAGAATCACAGATATCATTGAAAAGTCACTAGAAGAATAGGTTTGCTCCACCGTCTTTTTGGATGTGGCTCAGGCTTTCGACAAAGTATGGCAAGAAGGCCTGATTCAAAAACTGAACATGTTGCAATGCATTTTCGCAACACCAGCTTTTAATAAGCTGATCTAAAAAGCTACAATTATTTATTCTCACTTGCCGCAGTTTTGTAGTCATCAATGACATATTGTTATGAAGCATTCACAAGCAATTTTTTCTTGATCTTGTGTTTGGTGGAATTCAAACCCAGAAGGGTCTTACAAAAAGTTGCATAGCTCAAATTTTTGCATTTAGATTATAGAAATTTCTTGTGAATATTATTCAGTGAATCATTTAATTAGACTCTTTTGTTTTTTAGACTTACATTGCGATTTAATGCATTTTATCAGCGTTCAAGCCTCAATTTGCAACCCCTTTTCTCTGTATTATCTGCTTTTTTTATTGCCACAAAGTTTGCATAATGGCAAATCCAAATAAGCACCGCATTCCCCATGAAATGGTTCATTGCATTCAAGGCACATTGGGAGGTACATGATATTACAAATAAAACATCTAGTCATATTGACATTTTTGTTCTCCAACTTTTTGCCGTTTCTATCATTTTCTGTTTCAGTATCTCTTTAGTTTCAGAATGATGTTTCTCAGATACTGTATTTGCTTTTTCTAAAGACTGGATAATCAATTTCAGATGCTCTTCCATTTATGATAAATGTGTCTAAGCACGTATCCATTAGTCCATCTCTTGTGGAGTTTCAAACTGAGTAACGGAGTATTATTTTACTACAAACGTCAGATATTCTATTAATAGCTCGTCTTCAACTTGTTCTGCTCCACAATGCAAAACAAAAACGCGCGAAACTTAGGTTCTTTCGTTCGCTGTTGGTGCAATGTCCACCAGTGTAAATTATACTTACACCACCTTTATTTACCTAGTTTACTTCCTCCTTATTCATGATACACATGTCGAGTATAATTCACTCCTGCTAAATAGCTGGTGGAAAAAATATCCACCAGTGGACACCACATCGCCGACAGGAAAGTGTAGTGGATTTTACACTGGGCCAAAAGAAAGGTATGGTGTGCGTTAGTGTAGTTCATTCCTACAACACTAGTGGGACAAACCAAAGAACCGTATTATTTCGTACTATGGGTAGCATAGTTTACCCACAACGCGTTCTGGTTAATTAACTTTATGTTCGGAAAAAACTTTTCTAACCGCATTGTCCCTATACCCAAAACGCGTTGTGGACAAAAAATTCGGGTAGTGGGCAATTTCGGCTATTACGAATAACATATCATATATAACTAATAGAAAATAGTAAATAATAAAAATCAACGAGAAAGCTGTAAACCTAACTCAAATAGTCAAGCAAAAAAAACTTTACGTATTAAATGTATTTTCATCTTATTACACACCTTTTTAATCACATCATATTGAAAGTCGAGTTAAAACTTTTACAAATTAACGTAATATCATTTGTATAACCTTCAAATGAAACTATCAACTTAAAACAGAAGCACACACAAAATAGTTTTATGTGGTAAAATACATAAATTTGCAGGGATTGCGATGTAACGAACGAGTAAAATACCAATATTTCTGTGTCAATCATCAACAGTGGCGCATCCAGAGTTTAAGTCGTGGTAGTGGTAGCGAGAATACCGGGTTTAACTCTGAGGGGGTAGTGGTAATATTTGAGACCTTATTTTTGATAATACATTTTAGTACCTATAAAAAGTAACCTTTAAAAATATTTATGGGGTTTATTACCCCCCTCTGTGTATGCGCCCCTGATCATGGGACATTAAAAGTAATTAATCATACTGTCTTTTAATAGTACCGTGGTTATTTATTAATTTTGTCATCTATGATTTTAGCTGATGCACATGCAAGGGCACAATTAGCTGGAGAAATATATGAGAAAGATGGAGATAAATATCTGAGGTATAAAAATTTTGATCTTCATGTTGATGTAGGAGGAGGAAACGTACGTTTGGAAAATTTGTTTAATGGCGATAAAGTATTGTGTAAGTATGCGTGATGTTTAATTTAATATCAATGATATTGTAACGTTTGTTAAATTTATTTTTGTTTCATTTATTTAAAACACTTTATTTATAATTTATTTAAAACGTACTAATTAATGTATATAATACTTAGGCACTACTATTACTCTCAATTCTAATTTATTTATTACTATTGAAGGGCCCATTGCAAAAATTATCTTAGTCACATTTTGGACTTTTCGAGAAAAACGTGTTTTAAAAATATTTATGCTGCCTGTAATATTGTGGACCGGAACATAGTGCGGTAAGAGTATTATAACTGTCTTTGGGGGCATGTTTTACAACTTTTTTAAAAATTTGACTTAAAATATTACAGAAAATGAACTTGGGCACTTCTTCCCTTAAATTGGACAATAGTTATTAAAAATAAAACTTAAAGCTTAGTTTTATATTATTTACTAAGTCCTGAGGTATTTTAAACGTTAAACAAAACTTTGGTACACAATTTTTTTTAAATAAAATAAATAACAGGGTAAGAATTTACAACATCAAAAAATAACCACTTTTTAAAATGTTTAAAACCCAGGTCATACAAAAACTTAGGTATCACTTCAATGAAAAAAAGACGTGTTTTAAAAACAATGTCCAAAACGAACTTTGATAACTGCGCTTTTATAAACTCTATTTGTATCGGAATCAACTGCCTCATGTCCTTCATTCTGAATGGGTACGCGAGGAACAGACGTCTTATTTATTAAGGTCTGATTATAAAAGGCAGTGTCTTCTGAGTTTATGAAACTCATATTCTTTAGCTTTGCATCTTTAATAGTTAGATATTTATCGTCGCTATATGCCAAAGCAGTTGCTACTGTTGCTTTAAACTTAACAATATCACAAAGAAAACATATGACGCAGTAATATAATATATGGACTTAGGCACATCTTGAATTGAACTAACTGTATATTTTAAAATTGCCATATGGGATATCTGGAGTTAGGTACCTACATCTTACACGTACTTAATTCAGTCCAAATCAAAGCTTGAGAAAAAGTACAGTAGATGGCGTTGAAAGCCTAAATTGGACAAAAATTAACATTTTGCATTGGGCCCTCCAATTTGTCTAAAAATTCCGGTAATTATTCTGCACGTGTCAGACTGCGATTCGGTTTCTCGAGACTCGCGAAGAGTCTCGATGTGGCCAGCGCTAGACTTCCTGTCGCAGGTATGGTAGTAAACAGAGAACAGGGTTGGCTTCGCGTCGCAATATTATATCCAGTACAATAAAGAAATTCGTGCTTAGTTATTTGCTGATGGGATCTTAGTTCAATTATCATTTACTTTTGAAAGATCACTTTTAACTTTCGTATTGTTGGCAAATTTTGAGGGATTTTATCTATCATGATTAGTTTGTCCAAGGTTATGGAACCAAACTCACTTTGTAGTGTATAAAGACAGACTGTCTAAGAACTTTTAAGAGAAGGAGTCCATATTACACTAATAAAAAACAAGGATACCTATTATTCATGACTGAATGAAACCTTTCGACATCCAATTTCCCTAAAGGGTCGAAAACCAGGTTATTAGGAAAATACAAAATAAATCAGTCCGGTATATTAAACAGTCTAAACTTGGGTTTACTGGTACCAATGTTCTAAGCACAAGTAATAGCAACAAATATATGGCAAATATTAAAAGTGTAACAATGCAATTCAAATTAATATTGGAAAGGCAACATTCCTCTCTTAAGTTCCTCGAAGAATATAAGAAAAGACCTTAAAATTTACACAGAAATACCTACTAATACCTGAAACTTCTTTTGGTTTTGTTTTAAAAAAGGAAAATAGTTCCAAACTCAAATTCTACCAATAGAGTAAATAAGAAATTATTTATGCCATATGTCACAAACTAATACGAGCGGCCGTTTCTCTTCGGAAAACAACTACTCCTTTGACTAATACCGCAACAAGAATTGAGCTATAACCAAAGAAAAATAGCAGAGATAGCAGAATCAAAGTTAGAGTGTAGTCAATTATCTTCTACCTCTGATGTTTTTCTTTGGATATAATTAAATGACTGTTGCGGAATTAGCCAAAGGAGTACTTTTTTCACAGTGGTCATATTTGAGTTTGGAACTGTTTCTTTTTTAAATTGTCAGCCGTGCTTTATGGTTCCACCTAGTTTTTAAACTGGGTACTAGAAGCGAGCTTCGATTTTGCTTAATAAGCGCGGATGGCGTTACTTTAATTATTTGTGACTTCTTATTCTTACTCAACCTCAATACATGTGAATGTCTTTGATTGTCTTTGGACATAATTCAATGCGGTATTAACCAAAGGAGTAGTTTTCCGAAGGGAATCGTCCGCTCGTATTATTTTGTGACACATGGCTTAGACAATTTCTTATATTCATTTATTTTACATAAAGGTTTTATTGTACCCGTTTTTTGTTATTTTTACATTTCCTTATTTCTCATTATTCTATATTATATTCTTTGTTTATTTAACTACTATTTTGTTTTAGTGGGAATGATTAATGACGTCGTCAATAAAAATTTCGATATGTTTATAAAGGAACTAATGCCAATTATTGAAAAAGCATTGGCAGCAGTCTTTAAAGAAGCTGCGAATGCAATTGTGGAATCTTATACTTACGAACAACTATTTCCATAGATATTATCAGCTCGACAGAAGATTGATAAGGATACAAACTGTTTTTTTAATTTTTATAGAGACTTTTATGAAACATGTTAACTAATAAATCCACTAAATAAGAGGACTAAATGTATATTTTTTCGACTTCCAGCAATTTGACTGAGAGCTAGGCGGCCGCGAGGTGGTACGACCGTACCGCCAGCTGAAAATTTGGGAAGTGGTAGAAAGACGGGACCGTCAGGAATTATCATCTGTAATTTTGCAAGGATTTAGTTTAAAACCCTTGCAAGCGAGACGTCAGACGACCCAAAGTTGTAATTTTTTTGTTCAAATTTACAATACATATTATATTTCATTAGAAAACTTTTTGAAATGACTCGTTAGCTCAGTTTGTAAGAGCACTGTACAAGTAGTGGAAAATGCATTTCGTGAACTGGTTCAATTCACGATGAATGCAATCTGTTTTAATTTCTTTTGTTCTATAGAAAATATGAACATAAAAAACACGTACTATTGTTGTTTATTTATTTTAATAGGTATACCTACTTAAGGTTGGAGAAACCAAAAACAATATTCGAATTTAAGTAAAACAATAACAAAACAAGGTTACAAACAAAAAACATTTTAAAATTTTTATAAAATCAGGACTGGACAAATTAAAAATGGGCTAAAATTAATAAATTAAGTTTTTATAGAGCTAAGATAGTAAAAACCAATGACATACTATCTATCAAATAGGTTAACAATTAGAAGTGTACTGAAAGTAAGTATTAGATGTCTTAGTCTGCTGTTATAACAATATTGCTCTAAAATATTAACAAAGCTGGACAAAGGTTTGTCTTATCTTTTTGCTTTGCTAAACTATTCTGCATGTAGACAAATGTTTGCTTCTGTTTTACTGGAGATTTTCTGTAGAAACTGCAATAGGTTTAAAATTAAGGTCAGTTTTAGGAAAGTACCTAGTTAGCTCATGTTGTAAGGGTATTTCAAAGCCATTATTTGTAAGATATACATGCTAAAACGTATAGAAAACAAATCAAAAAATATTACACAAAATACAAACGAAGTGAATAATACACTTAACAGCAATTTAAAAAGACCGGCCGATATATGAAAATAATATAAAATTTTGAGATAAATAAACTTAGGGGACTAGAGCCCTAAAAAGGGAGTCACAATAATTTGTTCTGCATCGTCATCTAAGAAAATGTGTCTTCATATTACATTTTGAATTAAAACCAAATCAGCACAAAATTAAAAGTGATCTATTTTTCACGACGTAGATTATGTACCTACATCGATTAATGAGATTATTTAAAAAATATGTTATCCTAAAAAATCGGCTCATTTTTTATGACGTACACAATGAAAATATAATTTTAAAAAAATGCCCATTTTTTTTTCTTCTTAAATTGGCAGGCCTGGCGGCTACTATTTCGGAAAAAATGGCGTCCAAGATGGGTCTATGTTGCGACCCCTTAAGCACAATATATCCCCTGTAGCAGAGATAACTAATCTCTGCCCTGTAGTAATGTCACTGGGATTCAAGAAATGGCTTTGAGCTACGCTGCGGCCAGCGCAGTCACATGGCGCTAGTATCGGTTTGAATTTTGACACGTGATATCGGCACGTGAAGACAAAGTTTTTGACAAGCGAAGCGTGAAGTGTCAGTATTGACAAATGATAATTTTTTGATTTTTTTCTACTACGCAATTTATATTATTTATAAATATTAATTTTGTTTCAGCGATATTTATTGTAATTTGTGTTGTTGTAGTAAGTGCTTACTTATTTAATATGGAAAGCAAAACGTACAACAAACTCAAGGAGGGGTACCTATGGCTATCATTCAATTTTCCCTTTAAATGTAGTTGCCAATTTTGACGTAAGTTTGCAATACGTTTTCATATTTTTTAGTTAATAACCTCTAATATTACAGCCCGTGACTTGACTGTGGCTTGTTCGATGACCGGCATATGTGAACGCTTTAAAAGAAAACTGATTTAAAAGCATTAAAATTATGACAAATAGTTTTTGATCGGACCGTGACTTGACCTATAGTGAGAATAGACCTATAGATATACCAGCCTTGATTATCAAATGAAGACTAGAGAGAAGGTGAATTTTCGAGCAAAAGGCGAATTGACCTACTCGAAAAACGGTCCCAAAAACAAACGCTAATTATATAATCTTTTACAATTCACCTCAACGGCGCTGGTGTTGCTAGGAATGTTAAAAATGAACTTGTTTATTGCAAAATAAAGCACAGAAAATATTCTTGTATTTATTTCTAAATAAGTTTTAAGTGAAAAATTATTTAATTTTATCTATTTAATATAGAATAACCTCCTGAATTTGGTCGAATGATTAAATCAAATTCACAGACTTAAAACATTTATTTTATTAACCACGTCTTATCTTCATTACATTTCAGAGACAAGTACACAAAAACAACTTCATATATTGAATGACATTTGACATTCAATGTTACCAACTATTAAGAGTAGAATTACCTACACTCTAATATTTAAATGCAAATTAGGTATGGCCAAATTCGACATGGTTTGTTAAATGATGAAATTTGGTAAGTACAATTTTATGGCTAAATTTTTTTTGAATTATACCTAAATATAGTCTTAATAGCCAAATAAAACACAGTTAAAAGATTTTTTATTGTTATAATATAAAAGTATAAAGGAAGATTCAGGAATATACATGGTATTGTCTGCTCATCCTTTAATTTTAGTCTTCCACTTTTTATTTTGCTAACAGCACCACCAGTAAAAATATTTGGAACAGCGGCGGCTCGTGACTTGTGTAATAGGGAGGGCTGAGTATAAGGGCACCAAAAAATCAATACCAAAGATCATTAAAACTTAAGCGGGTGAATACGAGTCTTTTTAATTCCGTTATTTTCATGATAAATAATTATTACGAAGATAAATAAACAACACCACACTAGATCAACATATCAAAACAAACCATAAAGGGATTGCCAGATGGGCTGAGGGCTGACTGAGCTACGCCCGCCTAGAGCCAAGTGGGGCCTTGGGACAATTGTTCAGGTGGGGCCCCGCGACAATTTTATTAAAAAAAAACAAGCCTTTTCAATATTATCTTGTATTTTACTTAAACCAGCGCTCCTCCCTTTTCTGGCGGCGAACTTCTACAAAAATGAAATGTCCTCACCTAAAGCTGCCGGGCCTCCACTTGTGCCCGGGCCCCGGAAATTTGCAAAATGCATAACTTCTTCCCAGTACTCCGCGATGTACACATTGACGTCGCTAATCATATGGCAACCGTCCAGCGATTCGCTATGGGCTGCTGGTACTACGACGATACAATAATGATTACGTGCATTTATTATGATATGAGAAATACCATATTATTCGTATTGTACAGGTCCGGCTCGTCCGTATTAGTTAATTAAATTGTTCGCTCACAAACTTTATTATTGTATTTATTTGCGTTTGACTCTTTTATTGTTAATACGTTTAGGAGATAAATAAAATTACTGATTAATTATATGGAAATACTAATTAGGCATTCCAACGACCTGTCAAACAATAGGTGCCAGTGGGAAATTCTTGTATATCTAAGGGGGTAGCGACATAATCTTGCAACTTGGACGCTATTTTTATTCGAATTAGTACTCGCCAAGCCTGCCAATTTATGAAGAAATGTATAGGTGGGTTTTTTAAATATTTTTATTGTGTTTGACATAAAATATTTAAATGTTATCCATTATTCATGATTTTACGTAAAGTAGATAGAATGCACCGTATGTCGCCACCCTTAGATATACCAAACCTTCCCACTGGCAATTCATTTGTTTGGAATGCCTAATATGCATATGACTACTGCGCCCTCCCTCACCAGCCGCCATTATACCTAACGATCGACCTGCCAAGTAGTCAATTTGACAAACTTTATAAAAAGGAAGGTAATTTGTCTTTTGTCGATTCGGTTCTGTTTCTCTAGTCTTTATATACAGAACACAAAAACTAAAAATCAGTGTAGCCAATACATAATTCAGTTATCATTATGGCGGCCAGCATGAAGAGGGTCATTTTATTGTATTGGCAGCGTTCCCTTAGCGGTATCTAGACTTTCTGAGAGATATGAGATTACCCCAGACAGCACAAAGACATCTTTAAGACGTCTGTCAGAGACATGACAGACGTCTAAAAGACATCTTTAAGACGTCTGATGTTACAAAAGGTAACGTTCTTAAGACATCTTAATTATGTCTGTTTTTCGACATTGGTAAGACGTACTCTCGGATTTAGTTTTAAAAGCTTCTGTAAATTCCTTCTATACAAAATAAAACACATATTTTCTATAAACATTATTATTAACAAAACACTGAAACATTTCGTTAAAAAAAGTAATATTACAATTTTTTTTTATTCTTCCTCCGTTAGTGGTCAGATGCTCTTCTGAGCCAGCCTGGGTTGCAATAATTTAACTACGCTGTGTAAAATATTATGCAATTATAGCTCACTCTGTCAAATTCGCTTTAATAGGATTTTCAGTAAATAGTGTGGGTTAAGGGTGGTCAAAGAATGGCAATCTTCTTGTACTTTCAACTCTAATTCAGATATATTTACATCCGATGAAGCTTCTAAGTCAGCTCTAGACGCCTAGACGTACTTAAAACACTAATAAGGGTTCTTCTATTTGGTTTTTCAAAATATGTAGTAAACTTTTATGCTTATAAATTCACAGTAATCCACGGCACAAGACACAAATAAAAAAAATCAACGAATAACCAACAAAAACTAACCTCTCCCTCCGCTTTCATCTTCAATGACAACGAAAGGACAACGCAGAACGCCACGAACCCCAATAATACTCACATTCAAATACACGTCCTTGTTTAAATTCTACTGGGGGCCCAATTCCTGAAACTATGCGTTGAACGCCGCATTCGACTAGCGACGCATGGTCGCCACCGCATGCGACGCAAAATCTGTATTCTTGACTACCCTTCGTTAGGATAGTTTTGTGTCGCATGATGTAACGAAGAGTCTTTAATTATTGCAGTAGTTCAATCGTTTTAAACCAATAAAATTTCAGAACGTCATAACAAAACTGCATTATCGACTGAAAAATGTAAAAAAAAAAA